TCCAGCAAACACCATCCTTGTTAGCTACATGAGTCCAACACCATACAATGTCTCAGGTCTTCCTTATAGGCAGTGGTTGCTGCTGCAGCCCTATAGGAACCAAATGTATTCCCTCTCTCCTCGGGGGAAAATGCCAGCACCACGAGGCGCCTACCTTCCCGAACCACTCAGGAGTTAGCACAGCAGTCAGCAAGAGCCAGAAGCTTTCTACAGAGCTCCAGAGCCAGGACTGCCACTAGGATTTAACAGTGTACAACACAGACGTGTGGCCAAAGAAATCCAGCTGCTGCCAAGCTGGTTGCATTTTGGGTGCAACTGGGTCCCAAGCTGGCCAGCGCTTTGAGGTCGTCTTCTCACACCTTTTCCTTAATGCGAGCAGCCTGAGCACGCCAGAGGGGTGAGGATCTGCACAGATGTGAATCCAGGCTACTCCAAACAGAGAGAACACAGGTCTTAGAAAAAAGTCCCAGTCCCCTCCCCACTGGACCTTCCTGGCTGCTGTGTGTTTAACATGCTAGGGAGCTCCCAGTCCTTCCCTGCTCAGCTCCAAGCCCTACACTGCTCCTGCTGGCTCCCACGAGACCCGCTACAAGGGCCACGTGGGGATGTCATGGCCCAGTGCCACGCTCAGGAGCTTCCCATGAGCTCTGCTGCATGTTTGGGAGCCGGGGGGGGATGCCGGGAGGAATAGGGTGCCCCACACTGTCCTCTCTAAAAACTCTTCTGCCCTCGTCAGAGCCTTCTGAGAAGGGGGCAGTTTTCCCATCTCTTCAGAACCAAAGCAGGTAGAAGAGAACAGCCTTCCACTTAGCTGCTCACCCACAGCTTTTAGAACAAAACCAGAACATGTGCTAGCTGCAAACAAAATAGAGTAGCTGCCTCCCTTTGCAGCATATCACACAGCTTTCCCTGGCATATTTTTCTGCTCTAAAACCATCCCAAGAATGAAAGCAGCAACTGGGCACCATCAGGAGGCTGGCAAGAAGTACCAGAACAAGTTCCACCATAAATCACTTGTGAGGCCACAGATACACATACAATGATGAGGACACTAAAAAGCCCCTAAGGAAAGCAACCATTTTGCCATGAGAGCAGGGCTTGAATATTGTGCAGTAAATAAGGCTAGGGGCCACACACTGAGCAGTAAGGAGAAAACTAAATATTAAGTTGCTGCTCAGTAATTGAGCACAGCCCATTCTGTGCACAAAATAAGGCAGGGATGAAAGAGGGGGAAAATAGCAGAAGCATATGCCATTAAAGGCTACAGCAGAAAAAACATTCACAAGGGGACTAACTGAAGATACCAGGGGTAACCGGAGTTCTGGCATTCGCTGACTTGGGAGCATCATGCACATGCATGTATGAGCGCATGTGTGTATGCATGCTGTGCGCATTTGATTACCCCATGCCCAGGCAATCCACACAAAATCCGTGGCCGAGTCCCTTGAGAGGCTTCTACAGGGAAGAGAACTTAGGTTGGAGGAACAAGCGTCAGAACTCCGTCAGCAAAAAGCTATGCAGAATGTCAGAGTAAACGTTTCCTTACACTGCTCATGCACACTTATAATTCCCACTACTGCAGAATTTAGGTGAGTAGGGGGCAATTATAGTCAAGTTGCAGATTATCTGCCAGAAAACAGCAGCCTTGCCTTTGCAACTCTGAAGGCATCCTTTAACTAATTTCTTTTTTAATGTGTATGCATTCAGCTTCAGCGTGAGCAATGGCTGGAGCAGGAGAAATCCATGGTACATAACTTCCAGCGATAATCTTTAGTGGGAAGTGAGACACCTACCCATCACTTATACCTTTAAAAAACCTCCTCCAGAATGCTGTTTGCCTGCAGATCATGCAGCTCAGCTGGCTTTGACGAAAAGCAGTTGTTCCAATTTCTGGGACAGGCTAGAAAGACAGTTAGCGTAGTTATTCTTCCCCAAGGCAAGGCCTGGGTGGAGCTGGAAGAAATGACAGCAGGCAGTGAATGGGATGTGGAGGTGGCCCAGGGAGGAGAGGCAGTGCAAGCAAAAACTGAGGCAACAGCTGGGATGAGAGGGGACGTGGTCAGTTTTAGGGGAGAAGAGAAAATAGAGGTGTAATGCTGTTCTCTCTAGGCACTTTACTGCAAATTGCAAAAAGGAGCATGGAATAAGTAAATCAAAGGCAGCCCTTGTTCCTCCGATTTCTGGCAACCTAGGAAGCCTTTTTCTGCTCATTAAAAAACTGACCAGTCTATAGTGCAGCAAGAGAGAAGGGGATCAGCCTGGCCATTTATTTGGGGCACCAGCCACCCCTCTTCCAAAACTCACCAAAGCTGCCAGAAATTTTCCCACTGGTTTGGGCCAAGGGGGGCCAGAAAGCCGATCGCCTAATCTCTAACACATGCGCTGTCTCAGCAGTTGCAGTGGGGTGAGGCACAGGGGGTTTAATTTCTGCTTTACATCTGTCCTGCCTGATGCCCAGCACGCCTCTCCCTTCCCCACGTGGCTTCCCTACCTCCACTCCTACCATTTTCCGTCTCCTGTTTCCAAAAGTTGGCTTCAGGGCTGGGGAAGGTGGTGAAGCCCAAACATGGCCACTTAAAGCAAATACTATTTTTCAACTGAAAGACTTTTAATTTTTTTTTCCCAGTTTATTTTTAGAACAATGGTAAAACATACAAATCCTGGAGGCCTTGAGCACTTTCCTGCTGTGCTAGTGACTTAATTTATTTCTTTAATTTGTTAAAACCTCACCAAAAAAAATGTTATTCTTTGGAGACTTCACTAGCCCAAGTTCTGCATGTATTATTTGCTGCAAAAGATTAATGAGGTAGCAGAGGCAATTTTTAATGGATTCCCTTGGTTTTCTCTCACTCCCCCCCACTTTTCTTTTTTCCAACTTGCACGGCAGCCCAGGTCCATGAATCTGCTAAGCGCTCTCCGCAGACAGGATGCAGGGTGCGGGAAGAAAGTAACGAAATCAAAAAGCCTCTTTTGCAACTTCTCCCCTTCTCTTTCACCACCCAGAGATGCCGCGTTAACCACCGTGCTGCACCAGCCTCCTGCGGATCGAACGCCTCCGCAGCCCCTGTCCTTTGCAATGCTCCGAGGGAGCGGACGGGGCCGAACACCCTGAGTTTACAGGAAGGCTGCCTGTGTGACAACAGCTAATCCTACGCATAGTTCAGAGGTGCCGTCAGCTAGCCAGGAGACCCGCCGGGCCCCTTCTCCTGGCTTGGTTAGAAATCTGCTGACACTCCCAGAGACTCTTGGGGAGCGTTTTGGAGCTCGGCCACAGCAACCTTCCCATTGACCTGCTCCTCTTACGGGAACTGAGCGCTGCCTGGAGTGTAGCAGCAGCACAGGCTTCGGTGGTGGTGGCTAAGAATCAGATCTGTTTCTTTACCCAGAATAATCAGGCTATTTGTCAAGAAGATGCACTATGCTTAGAGGTGTCTAAATCCTTCCTCCTCTCTTGGCCCACACGCAGCCTCTATTCCAGCACAGCTCTGTGGGGGAGATTTTGGCTAACAGGAGATGAAATGGAGAGAAAGACGAGAAAAACAAAAGGTGAGGGAGCACAGGGAGAGTAGGTTAAGATGCTGGGGTCAGGGCAGAGAGAAATGTGACAAGTTCCTTGCGATAGCTTTAGAGACGGGGCGGGTCTGTGATGGGATAAGGGTGTGTGAAAGGGAAAAGAAACCACAACTCCCTGCTGCCGAGGTGAGGAAAAGGAAGGTGCAAGCCTCTTGAAACAGAGGCCTCCGCTCTTTCTCCACATGCAAAGCTGATTTTTTAACCTGAACAAACCAAAGAGAAGCTGTGGGCAGCCACTCTTCCAGCTTGCCTCCCTGCCTGTGGGGGAGCCTGCTCGGCGCTTCAGGGCTGGAGGCTCCCATTAGCAGAAGGACTGAACTATGAAAGCCCTACAAAAGCATGACTGAGGCCAGGCCACTCACCACATCATGGCACTCAAACCGCTTGGAGCAGTTTGGAAATCTGTCCAAATCAAACCGCCAGAGAGAATACACAATAGGAACTGAGTCAGGGAGACTAACCGTGGTATGATTTCATTTGGGCGGATCAGCTGGTGGCCCAAAGGCCACGTATGGTCTATGGGGCAAATCCATGCAGCTTGGTATCTTTTCTGCTACAGCATCAACCCTGACACTGTCGGGATCATTGCCAAACACTCCTGAGTGTGCCACTGGCGTAGCACTAAGCCTCGTAATCTGCATTTGTGCCTGCATCAGAGTGTGTTGGCCATGATCCCCCAGATTTCTGCAGGCGTTTGCACGTTCTGTTCTGCACACCTAACCATCCTGCTTTGAGTGTTGGTGCCACACAGGCACAAGTGTCCTTTGAGAAATCTGGCCCCTACAGTGTACCGTTCAAGGAAAGCGCATTTTTCTCACGTGTCTTTTTTTCCCTCAGGTGGTAGATAAGACCACACAGAAACAGCAAAGCAGAGCAACAGTGCAGGAATAAGGAAAGGACGGGAGAGTACCTGTCTGGAACAGCTGGCTCAAAGGCAATGACGGACAATAAATAAGCCTGAACACTGAAAGACAGGGCTGTCATTCTCCACCATGCCAGAAATGCCATAAACCATAACAGAGACATGCCAATGGTTTGAGAACCCCACAGAAGAATTTTTATAGCACTATATTTCATAACTCCTTTCACTATCTTGCAGGCCCAACTTGCTGATCTGTGCCTGCTTCTGCCTCCCCATTCACTGGCGTTTGCTCAGAACTCAGTCTCCACCACCAGGGCTGTATTCAAGTCATCGGCTGCCCATCCCCAGAGGCAAATGGGTCACTCCAGTGCACAGAAAACAGGGCTTCATGCAATGTCCGTAATGCTGGGATCCAAAGGAAGGGCTGTTGAGGGAAACAAACAGGTGAAAAGATAGCTCAGGTCTGGTTCAGACTAAGAAACAAGCTCACCTGAGAGGTAACGTCCCCCATGTATTTATCAAATGTCAGAGGCAAGGCTTCTGCCCCGACTGAACTCTGTGCTATCAGACAAGGTAGCTTAGAGCTACTTCAGGCATTTCTAGGTGAGTTGCAAGCACAGCCTTATCCCCTCTAGGCTACCCTGGAAAAACTGTAAACAATTACTTCTACCAACAGAAGTTTGAAATGTACAGAGGTAGCCCTAACACCTTTGAATATCGCTGACCGGATTCCCCAATATATCACTTCGATTGAAAATTCATCGGGATTCCCCTTCTGCATTTTCTTTGGTTTTTTGTTTTTTTTTTTTGAATGGGATGACACACGATCAACAATACTACACAGGTATAGCAATGGTACATAAATAATTCCATACACATCAAAGATTCCCGTACACATTCATTTAAAGTTGGCCTGAGGCAAGCCAAATATACAAACAATTAGTGATCTGTAGGCATGCCAAGAAATATTTGTGCAGCATATAGGCCCAAGAGAAAATATAATGAAGATTAAGAATATTATTAACACATATATGAAGGTAATAGTGTTTGATGGATTTCTATACGAGTGCCTCTGTGATCCTGGCAAACCCCAGAAAAAGGACGGGACTGACATTTCCCAATTTACCTACAGCTGTCAGATCCGTAGCGCCGCAGTAGCACTAAGTATCTGAAATGCAAGTGGCTGCTAAGCCATCTTCCTTTGTTTTGTTACACAGTGACTGGATCCACCTCATTCACCCAGTTCACGACAAATGTTTCTGTTGCTCTCATATCCCAAGACAACTTCTGTAGCCCTTTTCTTTAATGTTTTTTTTTTTCCACAAAAAGATCTTTTTTCCCCCCTGAACCTTGTCAGGTTTTTGTTCCCATTACTGTCTGTGGCACACAAAGCAGGTGGTATCAGAAGTGCAAATGCTTCCATATTCTTTGAATTGCTATAAACTGCTGCATGGTTTTGTTCATTTTAAGTACCCAGTCTTTTGATATCCTAGCCAGTCAATTCTGTCCTCATGAGTTAACAAGACTATAGGCAGGGAGAGACGGAAGAAAGGCCACCCAATTAAAGGGAGAAAATGAAGATCAAAACGGGCTACGGCGCTGTCATACAGTCAGGTACAGAACTGTACCGGGTGCAGGCACTGATAACAGGCCAGCAAACACTGCACCGGTCACTTTGCTGTGACCTTCACCAGTCACCTGGCTCCAGCCTTACGAGAGCTGACTACCTTTTAAGTTGAAAAGGCTTAGATTAAAAATATTACTAACCCTGAAAACCCTCAAACAGCTTCACTGGAAATGACAAACAACAAGAGGAACAACTTGGAAATTACAAGTCCTGTGGAAAGGACTCTGTGTAATTTGATAACGGACAGGGGTTGTTTTCTTCTCCATTAAACCAGAAGGAGCTGAGCACTGAAAATCCATGCTTACCTGAGGGGTGGGGGGGCTTGTAAACCTGAAGTTACCCAGCATTCAGATCAATGCTTGGAGATTCTCAGGAGCAAGCTACTCCGTGCAGCATGTACTGTTCTCCTGATTGTGCATCCAGAAACCAGAAGGCTGCGGAGAGACTTTATTGTGGCCTTTCAGTTCTTAAAGGGAGCCTGTAGGAAAGATGGGGACAATCTTTTTAGCAGGGCCTGTTGTGACAGGGCAAGGGATAATGGTTTTAAACTAAGAGGGTAGATTTAGACTGGATATAAGGAAGAAATTCTTTACAATGAGGGAGGTGAAACACTGGAACAGGTTGCCAGAGAGGTAGTGGAGACCCCATCCCTGGAAACATTCAATGCCAGATTGGACGGGGCTCTGAGCAACCTGATCCCATTAAAGACATCCCTGCTCACTGCAGGGGGGTTGGGCTAGATGAGCTCTGAAGGTCCCTTCCAACCCAAAGCATTCTATGATTCTAAGGTCACAAGCAAGACTCTGAAATGAAGTATGTCATCAGCATCCCAAAGTGGACATGGGTGCCATTGCTCTAGGGATAATTGCCATGGGGTGAGAGCTCCCAAAGTCAGCATTCCTTTTCTTTCATACAGCGTGTGTGAAGTGAGGGCAGGCAACTCACTGGTAAGCAGGGACACAGGCCTTCATTAAAACACCATGATGATCACCTACATTTCAGAAAGAGCTCACACCTGAAAATTGCCAGGAAAAATAGGACTCATCTTACTTTCAAAAATAAAAAAAAATACTTCAATGGATTCTCCCTCAGGAGTGTTAGAAGCTGGGTTGCCTCTTCATGCAAATGGAGGGAGCTGAGAAGGGTTCACCACACATTGTAGGAAATAAAGCTCTTGTTAAAAACAGAAAACAAACCACAGGAATTATTTGTTGATGTGTTCTACCACTTTTGACCAAAATTCCTGTGTGTTTGACTGCAACCAGAGCATTCAGTGAAGGAGAAGAAGGAGCTTAAAGGGCTGACAGTCCACCAGCGCCACCAGACATCGCAGTTCACAACGAAGTCTGGCCGCCTTACCTCCTGGCAAACTTGGTATTTTACACTATGAGCTGGAAGGATTCCACCTTAAATAAGATAGCTAGGAAAATCCAAATAACTGGAAGGAGAGTGTAGGTAGGATTTTGTTACCTAACACATCAAATAGTTCCACAACCGGCCTCTCAAAAACAAAGGAAAAAAACCCATCAAAATGCTGAATTTGGCTTCCACAATGCAAAGAACAGCTGGAGCATTTCTGCATGACTTAGCTTAATGCAGCAAGATTGGAATTTTTAAGTTACAAAGAAAAAAAAAAGAAAAAAGCAGCAAAGTTGCTGCTCACTTTCTGCTATCTGTACCAGTTACCACCTGGATCCAACTATTTGCCACCTAGGATCCAACTATTCAAAAATCCATGTAATTAATTAGCATCAAACCAAAGTGAAGGGTCAGCATCACAGCTCCATATATTACTGTTTCTGTCTGTGAAACATCTGTACTCCAGGAGTGACCTTTTGATGAGAGAAGATAGTTCCTTGACTCCCCAAGTCCTGCAGCTCAGACTCACAGCTTGAAACAACTCTTTTCCATGAGAAGCCTCTCATCAGCTTCATGCCCCACAAGGCTGGCAGTGAAGTGCAGGTAATATATAAACAAACCCAGGAAAAAAGGAGAGATTTCTTAGGCATCACTGTAGGTTCAGCCAGTTTCACTAATTTGCCTGTTCTGAAGACATTCAAGACCCCTTGTCTGTTTCTTCTTTGATGTTTCCCTGGAACCTACAGCACAGCAAACAGCGCGTTGGGGAGGACAGCCGTTGTGCCACCAGAGGCAGCAAGGGCGGACACAGATCTTATCCCAGCGAGGGACCCCCACAGCTGCAGGGCAACAGCTGGACAACGACGCAGGAATGACGTACTGTATCAGCTGGAGCTCTCCAGGGGCCAAAAGAGCAAGGGCCCCAGATTTGCCCCCACATTCCTCATTTCTTCCTATGGAGCCCTCTGACACACCCAGAGATGGGTACGGACACAGCGCGTGCTGCTGGATGCTAATCTTTCGGACACAAATCACGCGGCCACTCACGGCTGGGCACTGGCACCCCTGACTGATCTGACGGCGCTGCCTCACCTAACAGCTCCCAACCTGACTTCCTGAAAGCAGCAGGGGACAGCTTCTGAAACCCCATCAATCCAGACAGAGTCAACATGACCCGTGGACGTGGTCCAGCTCTGCCAGGAAGGGCCTAACAGCGAGTGCGGCTGAGGAAATATTATTGCAGCCTGGAGTCTTTCTCATGCAGGGTTCTATTTTGGTGCACCATTTCTTGTTGCATGAGCACACCCTGAGCATTTTGGGAACTCCAGCCACAGATAACACTTAGTTCTAAGTCATGGTGTTTTTCCTGATGCGGGTTTCACCATCCTGATTTGGGTGCAAATACTTGTGAACGTTGCAGGATTATATACTGCATAATTGCTTGCCGTGGCCCAGATCATATAATGTGCCTACCGAAAAGCACAGTAAATAAAATAACAGTGTTTCTTGCCAGTCCAAACAAACATTTTTCCATTGCTAGCAGAGCAAGACAGTACTACCCCATAACTGCAGTGTTTTAGTTCTTCATTTAATAGCAGCAAGAAAAAAGTCACACTGCTGTGAAGTGACACAGAAACATGCACAACACAATTTTGTCATCAACAGAGAAGCAGTGATTATATACAAGGAAATGTTTATTTGATCCACTTGCTAATGCACAAATTGCCTTGGTCTAAAACTATTTCATACTATACATTCTCAAGCAATGACCCAATTTGAGTTAAGACATTTGAGTTCATCCCTGTATCTTTTCGGGCAAGAGAGCCATTTGAGGAACCAACTATAGCTTCTCTGTCCACAGACTGCACAGTTTGCACCAGGAAGAGGGCTGCAATGAAAATAAATTAACCTATTCTACTTGATCCATGTTAATTATTTTTGCTTGAAAAAAAAAGAAGGAACCTCTGACTTAGCTAATGGGAAATCCTCAAGGACTTGGATAAAGAAGTCGTGTGTATCCACTTGCCCTAACCTTTGTTTGGCCTTTTGGCTAAGTACAAGGGGCATATCAGTTAAGCATCTGATGTCTTCTCTCTGGGAAACTCAGTGAGTTAGTAAGTCATTGCAAACTATTATGATTTTGATGCATGGAAAAAAACCAACAACTTGGCTCTCCTCAGACAGTACAGCTGGGTAAGTACGGAATTTCCCGGCACTGTTTAAGCCTGGGTGGGGTGGGAAAAAGAAAGAAGAAAAAAAAAAGAAATAAGTGAAGTTTATAAAGAAGGAGGGAAAAGGAACAGAAATACTGCCAGGAACACAAGAAATCTTTCCTTCCTTGTTTCACTTATGGAGATCAAATAATCCAAATTAAACATTAATCCCTTGCAAAATGCTGATGATTCTACTCAAACTAGGGAAGCTAAGGTGCTGAGAAGCCACAAAGCTCAGCTCTGGTCCTTCAGATATTCATATAAGCAAGTAGCTTAACTGATAGGTCTTGTGTCTGCAGGATCAGCACTCCAGACAGTCCCTGAAGGATGAACTGACCCTTGCATATGCCTATGGCCAAACCCACTGTCCTCACTGTCCACACCAAACCCAAGGTCCTCATTGTAGACCTCTAGGTATCTTCACAATACAAGTAGAAAATAGCAACTGCGGATGAGAACATATGATCACAGTGAAGCCGCTGCCATGTTCAGACCTCACCCCCAAAAATGGAGCACACAGAGGACTGTTAGCATCTTTCCCAACCCGTTGCAAAGTGAAATGGCATTACCATCATGTAAATGGAATGACCCACTTTGCTCAATGCTGCAGTGGATGAGACTGTGCTTACAGCTATGCCTGGCCTTCAGGTGGGAGGATGGACTTCCAGCCTCAGGAAAGGACCTTCTTATTGTCTGTTAACTTGGTCTTTTGTCATCCTGTATCCATACTCTCAAATCAAATCTACAATTTCAATGCAATAAATCGTCTGTTTCTCACCTAAGCACCTCAAAAACAATCAGCATGTGCTTTTCAAGCCCTGCAAAATCTACAAATCACACTGTCCCTACTTACGAAAAACCAAGGAGTGCACAAACAAATTAAGTCAACTGAGGATGTGTGGCAGAAGTCAACCCCACTTTCTGAGTCCCATTCATGAAAAGACAGGCCTTCCCTCCTCTCGCTTTCACTGTGGCTTCCCTAAGCAACAAGATTTTTCTACCTAGGGTTTCCAAAAGACACAAATATTACTTAATATGCACAGGAACAAATTCAGGACCAGGCCTACACACAGTATGTGTTTATGAACATTTGTTCCACGTAGTGATTTTACCAATATTACTCCCCTGACTTGCTTCCTGTGGCCAAGCAAGAGCAAATGATTTTTTAAGAGAAGTCTGAAGTTAGGAAATACATCATGCAGATGCACACAAGCCAGTACCTCCTCCACACACCCAAGTTTAGCAGGCAGATCTTTCAGAACCAGCTTGCAGGAGGTGGCTCTGCAAACACGAAGGCTTTTTAAAGCGATGCACAGGTACAGGGACTAACTACTTAATGCAGTGGTTCACAGACCTGTGAAGTCAGAAAAGACCACTGGGATCCCACCCAATGCAAAAAACACAGTCGAGGGGATTTCATCCAGCAATTCCTTTGTTAAGCCCCTAACTTTTAACGAATCTCAGACCTGTCTTCCAGAATGAAAATCAACTTAAATGCAGAGACTTCAAGGCTATGTTGACACTGCCTTGCCTCACACAGACCTGGAGGCAGGCCACTAGAGCATGACTGTGCAACCATATTGTTAACAACCTGCTGCTCAGCCGCCTCCAAATTCCACAGGACTTCTTGCCACACAGTAGGAAGCTTTCCAGGAAAGAACTTAGCCAACCCACCTGTCAGGAGACATTTCTTCAGGTTTGACAGGATGGGCATTGACAGATTCAAGCCAGCATGGGTGTATCTCAAGAAATGCCCTATCCTGAAGCCAGCCTATTCGTAGCGCAAGGATAAGTCTCTTTCCTACCACACTGTAGAGCTGATCCAAAGCTAGTGTTCGGTTTGGACATGAGATGAAGTGGGGAATGACTCCAAACTTGGACCCATGCTCAAAAGGCAGCCCAGCCA